TTCTCTCATCTATCTTTTGGTAGATTTAGCCGTATGGCATGAGGCTCCGTCCTGATGAAAGATAAAATCTCCGAATGAATATAACTTTGCCGCAATTGATAGAAACGACGTTCAAGGATATCTTGATATTTCACTGCGTTTACTATGGCCTCAATAAAATGTAAAGTTCCCAACCCTTTGGCCGACATACAACAAAACTTCATGATTCCCAGTGGCAACTTTACAGTCCTTTTGAGATAATCCTTATGGAATGTTTCTGTTTTTTCCCTAATCACACGCTTTCGATCGTCTCCTACACACACATCCAATTTGCTTTCATCGCTATAGATAAGTTTGTCCCAGTTATGTTTGGTCTACGGTAAAGTATTGGTAAAGTTTTGATTTGGCCCAAATGTAAAATTTTTTTTTGAGTTTCTGTCAACAATGGATTTTCTTTGGTCTACGCGAATCGCAAAGAAGAACGTATTAAACATCCTACCTTATAAAAACAAATTAGTTGTTGGAAAACTCTGTTGTCTGGAAACTGATTCTCTGGAAACATTCATCCCAGTTTCTCTATTCCTTCTAGTAGTTACTTCTCATAGTGTGTTTCTTCTTCCCATCTTACGTAATTTGATAAAATGCCTTACACAACAAATTAGTTGTTGCCGCAGTTAATTCACTGAAAATTTCATGCATTGTTTTCCCTTGATGGTAATGATGAATAATAATTTCTCGAACTTTTGGATTAGTAGGTTTTCCAAGGGCCATTATTATATTTTACTCGTAATAAAACTGACGGTTGTCTTTATTCATACTCAAATGACGCGTGAAAATTATTGTTGACAACGCACTACCTGCTCAAATATTTAATTTCAAAGCTTTCTTTGCGCCAGACTGGTAAAATTTAAGAAACGCAAGGAAACGAAGAAAATGTTCGAATATTTAGTTGTCAGCAGTTTTTGATTATCCAACAATTAATTCAATAGTAATCAATATAAAATATATAATTAAGCCGCAAAAATAAATCCATACAGTATAAAAAGTGTTCATATTTACAATTAAAAAAATTTTAAAAATGAAAGAATTTCCATCCTGGTTTTCACGCATCCAGTGTGGATTTACGTCACTCCAGTACCTTAAATCGTGTTGATTTACACTTCCACACAGTGTAAAGGTTACTTCATCGGAAAAACATATTCTGTTAAAGAAATTTTCATCATTTCCAATTTTATCCATCATTACTTCTGGCAACTCTTTTCGGTCTACCTGATTGATATTTATCGTTTACTTCTCCAGATTCCTTAAATCGCTTTACAGTTTTTTGTACCGTCGCCTTATGAACGGTTTAGGAAAGTATTATTGAACAAGTTGGCTACTTTTTCTGTCACGGTATAAGAGAAACGGCACATCTGACAACGTTGCAAATCAAATATGGAATCTCCGTATCCCAAAATAGGTGTACCTCAAATTTTGTACAATTATAACTAGCAATTTACAAGATAATTGGCCGTTTTCAGACTTTTGAGCCACTCTGTATATGGACATTGAAGACTACGACACAAAAATAAGGAACATCCTGCATAATATCAAAAAATTGTATAAATGTCCTGGACAAATACTAAACAAAAAGATGTCTAAACTATATAAAATTAGGATGCTGTTTAAAAAAATCCTCTTGCTGCTTAGAAAGAAAGTTTTTCTTTTCTAAAAAATGTTTAAGGGTGAATATCTTTATAAAAGAAATATTTTTGTAAACTCCTAGTTTAGAGAAAAATTACATATTTATTTTTATTTCACATAAACAGTTATTACAAAAAAATATTTAATCTATAAAAAACACGACATTGAACCTTCTAACAAAAAAAATTAAAATTAAAACTATGGTCATCTACCAAATGGCAGAAAAAGATGCGAATCCGGAGAAAACTAATAAATATTTTTGAAAAAGTTAAACGCAGAATGAAAAATTACATTATTACTGAGGGCAGAAAGTCCCTGAAAACTTCTACAATGTTTATTTTAATATGTTATGTAACAGGGGTGAAAATAATAGAGAAAATATAGTATAATTTTTAATTGAAAATATTGCATGCAAAAGTAATTTTTATTTATTCTAATAAATAGAAATATTTAATTCTGCCTCTTAAATTTTTCACAAAATGCTTTTTAGTTTTCTCAGGATTTAAAAAAATGGATACATTTAAAACACATTGAACATTTTGACAGGCGACATTTTGGGCCTTTCCTCTTTAATACCTTACGATTACAACTATTATTATTTACCTTATATAATTACGATTAGAAAACTATTCAAATTCAAAATCACTTCGGAATCCGAGTCGTCTTGAGGGTTAATAATTAGCGGTTGTGTCTTTACGGTCGCATTAATTATGTTATCAAGGTCCCACATTTTTTGTTCTTCTTCTATTACATGTTTTACTGTATCTTTCCAGTTTTGTTCTGTAATATGTTGTACAGACTCGTATAACAATTCACGTACAGCTTGTATTTTATATGACGTATTTTTTCTAGCCACATAACTTTTCATTTGTGCCTAAATGAGTTCAATTGGATTTATTTCGCAGTGGTAAGGTGGAAGTCTAAGGAACTGTGATGTTCGCATTTCGGCCATTTGTCGACTACGTATTTCTTGAACTTAGATTTGTGTTGCCGGCCAATTTTTAAAAGTTCTGCTTTTACCATTTCATCTTCGTAGGCAGATACTTATTCCGCAGCCAGCCAAGAATATCCTGTTTCTTTCACGCAGTCGTTGGAAGTCTTTCTACAAGTCGTGAATGATAAGATGCATTATCTAATACTATAATTGAATTTGGTGGTATGTGTTCAATCATCTGCTCAAAATACTCTTCGAAAACATCAGCTGTCATCTCATCGTGATAGTCTTTTGTGCTTTTGGACTGAAATTCCAACAAACCATGCTTAACAAATCCTTTTTCACTGTCAATGTGAGAAATTATTAATCTATTGCCTTTACCAGAAGGTGGGGAGATACCAGTAGACCAACCTTCCATAAAGGATTACCTGGAGCTTAATATATTTTTGCCTTACCAAATTTTTTTTAGAGTATGACCTGAGTTTACCCACGTTTCATCCTGGTAGGCCTTCCTTCAGCCCGAAATTTTCGTATGGATCTTAGATAATTTCTTCTCCAACATATTATCTCCTCCCGGTCAATCAAAAGTGATTTTCGATCTGATTTCTCCCATCGGAAATTTAATTCTTTTAAAACTTGCCACAATTTAGTTCGTCCGATTTGAGGCAAATCCGGGTCGTCTCTAACTTCTTATAAAATTTTGTTTAGGTTTGGTATTACTTTTTGAAAAATAAATCCATGAATTTTTTTTAATACCTTTTTGGACAAATTCATCAATCTCAATAGGCTTTTTTCCTCTCTTTAAGTGTTCGTTTTGTGTTTGGGTTAGCTATACCGTGTTTTTTTCTTTCTGATAGGAAACTATATATAGTTGACTCCCCTACGCAAGTCATGTTGGCACAACTTTCGACTATGTTGCGAACAGTGTTTGTGAGATTCTGAGAAATCAGATCATCGTGAACATTCAGGGCAATAGTCTTCTCTCTTGGTAAATAGACAGACTTACTGAATGTACGCAACACTACCGGTGTAAAACTTAATGATGTTAATGATGAAGCCATCACAAACAATCCAACAAAACGAGAACGAACGAAAGTTACGGGGCCAAACCCGGCATCTTTATATAAATTATATTATTAAAAATATGGGGAATTCCATCCTAATTATCTTGCAACGAATAGTACCTTCGATTATGAATTCCAGGTTTTCTAGTAAAGTGATTAAACGCGAAGATTAGTATTGAAATATCCAAAGAGATAAGGTATTCTTATTTACAAAATTGTTAATGGTTAAATTCTTATTTTTATTAATATAATATAATAACCAACATTAGCCGTGAAAGTTTTAATTGTTTCTTGCTAAATATATTAGTATTAAAACATTATTAATATTGATAAACATTTTGGAAAGGAAAATAAATGTGAAACGCATTAATTTTAATGAATAAACACCTCAGGAACGCCTATGATGATACAAATTTTACGACCCTCTTATGACTTTGTGGTAGATTTCGTGCTCTCAATAATTTGTGAACGGATAATAACTGTCATATGTCGAAATGAACTTCCAAACTTATCTGAATTATTAATTAATTATTATCAAAGGTAAATTTTATTTAAAATAAATTGAAATATGACAATTAGCTGGTAAACACAACTTATATTTATTTATTAACTTTTTAAATTGACATGAGAATAAATCTTAAACCTGCTCGCTTTACTGGCTAATTATTTCTTTTTAAATTATTTAAAAAAGTTTGTTACGTTACATTTGAACAAAAAACATTGTCCCACAAACTTCAAAAAATCAAATACCAAAACTGAACTTCAGGTTATCCTGGATGTTGAGAATATGTGATCCTTCACTCGGCTACTTATTTTCCACTTAAAATAATGTCGCCTTACTTAGAATTTTTAGTAGACTTAGTTTGTCACACACACATATGGAATTTGCCGTGACAATTTTGCCGGTTTTTTTCCAAAATTTCACGAAAACGAATTTCACTACTCAGTCCCTGCCATTGCTGTTCTTTGACTGCTAACATCGAAGCCCCGATGACCAAGTTCGGACTTCTACAATGAAACCGTCTGATTCTTATGGTGCTCCACAGCGAAGTGACATCATCCTCAAAAATTGGTATAAACATAAGCGGAAAGATTCTTGTTTATTTCATCCCTAATTCAAAATAGTCGAAAATTTGTGAAATACACAATACAATGAAAATAAGTGCAGCCTGATACATCCATTAGAACGTTCGAGGTAGTTATTTTTTAAAAACCAACGGCCATGTAGGTTTGATTGAGTAAGGTACAATTCGTCTTTTCTTGCGGGTTGCTATAACACACATTTATGTGTCTATATTTTATTCACAAAACCATAATCATAATGCATTTTTCAATTTTAGGTTGAAAACTTCAGCACATTCTCTGTTTCAATGTTTACTTTACTTCGAACAATTTTGGGCGACTTCAATTATCCAGAAATCGAAGAAGCTAATAGGATTTTAGCACCAATATATTTTGTAACTTACATATTTTTAGTTTTCTTTGTGTTGTTGGTAAGTAGATCTTTTGACTGTGTTTATTTATTTATTTGGCGTACGGGGTATGAGATACCTACAATAAGAACACATAATTAAAATCAACAGAAAACGTTAAATAAAGCCGCCTTCGGGGTCATTCTTTAGTAATGTGACGAACAGTATTGCGATGCAGTTCAAAGTCTGGTGGTTTCTGATCGAGACAGGTCATATGGTATACTTCCTGTGTTAAGTCGCTCTCCTAATATCTTCTCTAGACGTTGGTGAAGCTGTGAAATGTGTCTAATGTCAGGAGGTGGCCACTAACAATGGAGGATATCTGGAGTGCAGTCTATTTATTTCAATATTAAACTTGTCATGGTGGATGAGTAGTTGATTTAGTCTGGACTTTTCTATATTCAAGAGAAGATAATGAGTTTTTCGTAGTTTTGGCGGTGGGATGTGACTCATAATAAGAAGTCAATAGTTCGGTGTTGGTCTAATTGGACCCAAGATCATTCACAAGATATTAACAATCTTCGTGTGTTTGCTATTGAGTCATACCAGGAATGTATATTCAGCTACCAAGTATACAAGTCCGAGAGCGAATGCTCTGAGTACAGAGGTTGAGGAACCCCATGGGATGCATAGCTTTTGGATTATGTTATTTCGCTTTTTAAGCTTTGCTGCCATTTAGTATAGGGGTTCTTTAAAAGAACGGATTCCCCAAGATATTTTGGTGTTAAGTTATGAGTCAGTAGTGTATTTTCAAAGTGAACGGGGAGTTTTTTGTGAGTTTGGGTATTATTTAGATGGAAACAGCATACTTTGGTTGTGGTTGCATTAGTCCTTAGCCTCCATTTGCGGAAGTATTCTCCCATACTGGCAAAATTATCCGTTAGTATTGTTTCTATAACATCCATGTTATTATGTCTTGTAATATGTCCGTACTTGAGAATAGTGGATTTATTTAAGACTTTTTAAATAAAAACATGTTTGGATGTAATCCTTTATTTCTGACATTTCCCACAATGACATTTTATCTATCCCTCAACGATACCTAACCTCTAAGCGTGTTCCGTAGCAAACTAAAGAATACAATATGTTCGGAACACAATTACACAATACATCACACTTTTCTCCCCTTAATTTCTTTTTCTTATACTTATAAATTTAACCTTTCTGGAGGTTTAATAGACCTGGAAGATCTCCGCAAGCAAGACTCTGGTGGCATAGTCAAGCTTGCAGGTTCTGGTTCCACATTTGAAAATGTACTAGTAGTCTGCTCTATTGAGGGCTCTGCTGTTGCATCTAACTTAGTTTTTACTTCCCCAGCTAATACTTCACTTTTCATTTTCTCTACCTCTGCTTCCGAATTCCATTCAGTGTCTTCTTCTAACCTAAACTTTACCTCATTTTCCTTGCCACCCAACTTAGATGGTTTTAATGAATCGCCATGTAGGAATTTTATATTTTCATTTACCCAAACTAAATATGTTACCCTACTAAGAGATCTCACAATCCTTCCAGTAGTCCACTGTTTCTCGTGACTTAGGTAAACTAATACATCTCCTTCCACATAACATCTCAAAGGTCTTCTTCCTGTCTCCCTCTCTACTCCTTTTTGTACTCGTTCTCTAGTTTTACTTTCTGCTGTTATCTTTGGTTTTAGCAGTGTTAATTTAGTCCTAGGTGGTTGGCGGAGTAATTCTTCACTTGGGCACTTTTGAGTAGTCGTTGTGGGTGTATTTCGGTAACTAAAAAGAAAATTTGACAGTCGATGCTCCAAACTTAGTTTAATCCCCAATTTTCGTTCCTCTAATGCCAACTTCTTTAGCGCTGACTTAACAGTTCCCACTGCCCTCTCTGCACTTCCGTTTGATGTGGGATGATATGGTGGAGAATGAATCAGCTTGATACCATTAGAAGCACAAAATAATTCAACTTCTCTGCTTGAAAAGGGGGGCCCATTATCAGCCACCAATGACTCCGGTAGACCAAACGTAGCAAAAACCTGTCTCAGTTTTTCCAAAATTTTACTCGCATTTGTGCCATTTGTCATAGGAAAGATTTCCAGCCATCTTGATGATGAATCGATTAATATAAAAAAGTATATCTGATTAATCTGGTAAAAGTCCATATGTACTCTTTGCCAGTGTCTAGTAGCGGGCCTCCAGGGTGTTAATTCAACCTCTTGAGGTCTCCTGGCACTTAATTGACAAGCTTCACACCTACCCACCTTTTCCTCAATATCTGTGTCAATACCAGGCCACCAAACTGTACTCCTAGCCAGCATTTTCATTCTAACTATTCCAGGGTGCTGATCATGTAGAACCTCTAGCACTTCTTCTCTCATAGATCTAGGAATTACAACTCGATTACCCCATGTTAAACAGCCCTCCTCTATACTTAATTCATATCTTTTTCTAAAGTATGGTAATAACAGTTCGTCCTTCATATGTGTAGGCCAACCAAACTTAGTTAGCTCCAAAACTTTAACTAAAGTCATATCCTTACCAGTTTCCTTTGCAATGTCCTCTGCTGTAAGAGGTACTTCTGGATCTAACGTAAATGCATAAACCTCTTCCTCGTCCATACTGGCTTCACTTAAAGGAAGCCTTGATAACCCATCAGCATTTGCAATATCCTTACCCTTTTTGTGCTTTATTGTATACTGATATGCAGAAAGAATTAACGCATACCTTTGAAGTCTTGAATGAGCAAGTGTTGGTATCCCTGATTTTGGACCTAAAATTGATTTAAGAGATTCATGATCTGAAATTAATGTGAACTTTCTTCCATAAATAAACTTATGGAATTTTTTTACAGCAAATATGATTGCCAGTGCTTCTTTTTGAACCTGGGCATAGTTTTGTTGATGTTTGTTTAGTGTACATGAAACAAATAGAACTGGCCTCTCTACATCATTTACTATTATGCTTAATACTGCTCCCAATCCATACTGAGACGAATCACATGTGACAACCAACTCCTTTGTTGGATCATAAATAGCTAAAGCCTTGCTATTCAGTAAAAGTGTCTTACTTTTTTCAAAAGCCCTTTGTTGTTCTTCACCCCATTCAAATTTTTGATTTTTCTGTAACAATTTATATAAGGAATATAGTTCTATAGATAACATGGGTATAAATTTAGAATAATAATTTAGCAATCCCAAATAAGCTCTTAATTCAGTTAAATTTTTGGGCGCAGGAGCTTTCTGAATAGCTTCTATTTTCTTTTGCATTGGTTTAACACCTTCTTTATCTAATACATGTCCCAAGTATTCGACAGACTCACGAAAGAAGCATGATTTATTTTGATTAATTCTAATATTATATTTATTCAGTCTTTCAAAAACTTTTAGCATATTATTCTTACAATCAGTAACATCTTCCCCAGCAATAATGACATCATCCAGGTAAACACCTGTCATATCTATACCAGACAAAACTTGTTCCATCAACATCTGAAAAATTGCTGGAGCGCTAGACACACCGTACGGTAATCGTGTAAATTTATATAACCCACAGTGCGTATGTATTGTTAACAAATTTTTAGAAGTTTCATTGACTTTTAACTGCAAATAGGCATTTGACAAATCTAAAATTGTAAAAACTTTAGCTCCGACTAATTTATGAAAAATATCTTGCAGGTTTGGGAGGGGGTAATGATCCTGTTTCAAAATAGGATTCAAGGTTTTTTAAAATCTCCACATATCCTAATTCCTCCATTGCTCTTTTTTACTATGGCTATTGGACTTGCTATTTCTGCTTGTGTGGTTCGTACTAAGATACCTGACTTTTCCATTTGACTAAGTTCCTTACTTACTTGTTCTCGAAGAGCATAAGGTACATCATATGCTTTGTGAAATATCATTTGAGCATCTTCTTTAATAACTAAATTGGCTTGACACCCTTCTATGGCTTGACTATTGTCCTGACTAAAAACTTTTGGGAAGAGTGCCCTAAAATGTTCCAACTCTGCAAACTTGACCGCATTTACCTCACCTTGACTATTATTTACCTTAAAAATTTCCCTCCAGTTCGGCTTTATTACATCAAGCCAAGACCTACCTAACAAGGGAGTAAATTTCTCCTTAGTATCTACTATAAATAAAGATAACTTATAAACATTATTGTTTGATTTTACGTTAACATTAACCTTACCTATTACAGTCAATATACTTCCTGAAACAGTTTTTTTCGGAACACATGTTCGGAACACAATTACACAATACATCACATCTTGCTGCATGGCCCCGTCATCAGCGTAGCCAAATTTCTGGGAAGTTTTTGTAGGCTGGTCCGCGATGTATAAATCAAACAGTAAGATTACCAAAACATAGTCCTGCGACATTCCTGTACTAAGTTTCATTTTGAGACTTAAAATTGCCCATTGTGACTTTAAAGAGTGTGTCGGTGAGCATATTATCAACAAGTTTAGTCATTTTTTGACATCGAATGGAATGGAGTAGTTAGCAGATTAGTTCTTGTATTCAGACGATATCGTATGCAGCTGATAGGTCAGTAGAAGCAACCAATGTTTTATGTTTTATTTGAAAACTTCTCTGATCTGTGCAACTACTAGTTAAGTCTGCTTGCTCAACGGGTATTAATTTAAATTTTACTACTAATTCTTTTGTAGATTAAGCTTTCCAACAGTTTATAGATACAGTCCAATTGGTCGGTAGTTTTATGGCTGATGTCATTGATATCACTGTTTTAAGTATTCAAAAGGAACTATGTAAAATAATGGACCACATCAAACCAAAAATCCATACCCCATACATGTTCAATGAGGGAAAGGTCTGGTAATCTTACTGACCAATGAATAATGTTGACATTATATTAGCGGAGAACTATTCTTCTGCTTAGTTCACCCTTTACTTCATTTTAATCTCTGGCACCTAGTTATAAGACCTTTGTACTAAACCTTTTTTTATTAAATTCCAATAAGTCCTGTGGCCCCACTAAAGGTCAACAGTTGTCTCATTGGTAGTTTAAGAATCTCTTCTAGTTCAAGCCTCAGATGGCAAGTGAATTACTGCAACTCATATCACCTCAGCGCATTACAATTGCACATGATGTGTATGGCCGTCTCATCTTCAATTTCGCATTTTCTGCACCATGGTTTATACACCTTACCCTATTTGGTATAGGTTTTGTCTTAAATGACAATTTCCAGTTACCATTTCGGCGACAATTTAATCTCTAGTTATTTAGGTTCATCAAATTATCCAAGAGTTTATCTATGTTTTTAATTACTTTTTTAATTTGGATTTGTTCTTGATTGGCTCTTTATTTCTTTTGATAATTCCTTACCAAAGCGTTAAAGTTTATTTTCAGAAATATCAGGTTTACTCGTACCATATGTTATGGCACTTGGTATAGCACCTGGTAAGGGCTATCTCTAGTTCCATGAAAAGTCAATTTCTCGCCTTTTTCTCGTTTTTGGTAAACCCGTCTTCGGCTGTTGTTGACTTATAAACAGGATCGAGATTTATCCTGAAATACAACCCGGTTACATTATTGATCCTAGCTGTCCCGTTATTGGTACCCCTGCAGTGTTTCTTCTCCATGTCTTTCGCTTAACGACAACATAAGGTGTGGTTTGAAGAGCAAAACAGTTTATTCTCCGGTAAGATTCTATTGATTTAGTAATGCTGAAGCGGTTCCTTTTGGGAGCGTCTGTTTTTAATACGCTGGCTTTAGGTCACTGACTCTATTAGTGTTTTTCCGACGAACAATTCCAGTCTCTCGTATTCCTATTAGATTAGTAGTCCTCTGTCAAATTCACTTAATTTAAAAAAAAAAAATATTGCGTCGTCGTGCATAAGACTTTTAACGCAGTATCAAGAATATAGCTTACCATAAACGTCAAACTTTAAATTAAAAGGAATAATAAACAGTAATGATTTGTTAATAACAAACAGCAGCTACTAAATACCTTTTCAGATTATTACGAAACTATTTTTCCTTGTTGTTGATTCAATACCGCGGCCGTCGGATTTTTAATCTCCTTAAGTTATCCTGCACACCATCTATCTAAGTCGGGGTGTTTCTCTACTCCTTCTTCCTTCCTGAGCCACCCAGAAAAAATTTCTTTATGATTCTTTACTCTTCCGGTCTCTGTGCGTGACCAGCTCAACTTAGTCGTTCTGTCTTTATTTCAGTTACAAAGTCTGGTTGTTCCTTACGCTGTTGACCTATCTTTTAGTCCATCCGTCTTTAAGACCAGTTTCCCAAATCTTGGACAAAAGAGTACACTTCAACTTATTAACTCAAAACTCATCTGCCTGAAGCCGTTGATTAGTAAGTGTGGGATTGCTTATAGTGGCAATCATTCGGTGAATTACCTGTTGTTCCACAGGAGGTATTTTATTTCCCCCTAATCTACCTGTTAGTAGAATCGGACATCCGTCTATCCGCCACCTGAGAACGCGCTCTCCGGGGGTTACAGGTTCTCCGGAGAGGACCTAATCTATATCCCATTAAATATTACCATTTTGCTTAATAAAACTGTAAATATTTCGTAGTTTTAAATTTATGTTGCTTTAATATACAGGGACTTCCATTTAAATACACAACTTTGGTTCGTTATGTTGTTTCGACTGACCCTGTATAATCGAAAATAATTATAAATTATAGACGTCTTTGATATACATCAGTTTCGTTATAAACATTTTTTATATACTCCATAATTTAACCGCAATAAAAGAAAGCCGGAAATTTGGCGCACCCTATATACATAATACACATTTTCAAGCTGGAATTCAAAATATTAAATAAAATATTTTTAATTACATCCGTGCTTAATTTTCGTAAATATAAATATTTTTAATAATAATATAAAATGCCACACGACACTTGTTTCAGAATCGTATTATTTTATTTTTCAGAATATGTTTTTGGCTATTATCAACGACACCTATTCCGATGTTAAAACAGAAATAGCTTTAGCACCAGATGAGCTTCAAATGACAGAATATGTAGGAGAAAAACTCGGCAAATTTATGAGAACATTGGGTTTAGGTCGATACTTTCCGAAGAAACCGACAAGAGGAATTAAAACCACGTTAAGAGAAATCAGAGAAGTTTTAAAAAAGTAAATATACATAAACTAGCTACATACATCTTCTGCTAAAAGTGCCTATCTTCTAGTGATGTTGGCGGCCACATTGACCCATCTTATTCTATTCACAGCAGCTCTAAATAGATCAGTTGAGGTTAGACCAGTCCATGTCCTAAAATTGTTCAGTCAGGATATACGTCTGCGTCCAGGCTACATCTTGCCCTCAATCTTGCCTTGTAGAATCAACTGTAGAAGTCAATATTTATTATTACGTCAAATATGGCCGAAGTAAGCCAATTTTCTGTTCTTTACGGTGTTGAATAATTTCTTTGTCTTTGCTTAGTCTCTGGAGAATAGTTATTTTAGTTGAGTGGTGTATATATGAGACCTTTATCATATGCCAGTAACACTATTTTTCAAATGACTCAACTTCCTACTTTGTAGCCCCGTAGTTATGATCCAGATATCCTTAATATTGCAGCTCAAATAGTATATTTTCTCCAATCTTATTAAGGTGTATGGTTTATTGTAATTTGGGCGTTTATGTTCGTGTTCTGTCGAACTCCCTCTTCGACTGTGAACATCTCGGATTTTCGAATCGCACTGCTACTTTTTGTTGAAAATATAAGTTTGAGATTAATTTTCTATCGTTATCATCGAGTCCTGATGTTTTAAGGTTTAGTTTCCCATATGGTATTTTGTCAAATGCCTTCTCGAAATCAAAAAAGTATACATATACATAGCAGCAAAAATGGAGAACAATTTTTCAGAATGTAAGGTCTTACAGGGGAGCCAATGCTGATTCGGATCACATTTTGGTGATAGGCGACATGAAATTGAAGATACTTAAAGATAAAAACGACAGAAAGAAAAGAAAGAGGTGGAATCGGTCGAAACTAAATACAGATAATGCAACCAGAAAATTCTGCACTAAATTGGAAGAAAAACTACTAGTCCTAAAACCATCGAGCATAGACAAAACATGGGAAGACATAAAAGATAGTATCTTAACAACAGCAGAGGAGACGATAGGACTAATGGAAAACAATAAAAGAAAGGACTGGTACGATGAAGAATGCGAGCAAGCTAGTAAAGACAAGGACAAAGCAAGACACAGGTGGGTGGCCACAGGGAAACAAGAAGATCTCCTACACTATAAAGAGAAGAAGAAAGAGTCAGACAAATGCTGCAAAAGAAAAAAGAAGAAATGGATCGAAGAATTACTGCAGGAACTCGAAGCCAATAGTAATGACGATGCAAGACTATACAAATACATAAAATCACAGAGAAAAAAAGAGATACCAGCAAATATTGGAAAAATAGAATGGGAAACACACTATAGAGAACTGTTTAAAAAGAAAGACGATGCTGAAAACGCAGAAAATGAAGAACAAACAGAAAATAGGAATGGAGAACAATCAGAGCCTCCCTCATGCAGCGAACTATTGGCGACTATACAAGTCCACAGAATCCACAAACTAATAGAACGAATATGGGAAGAAGAAAGCATGCCGAACGACTGGAGTTGTGGTCTGATAACACCAATCCCTAAAAAAGGCGACAAGACGAAATGCACTAACTACAGGGGAATCACGTTATTAAATACAATGTACAAAATATTAACTAATTTGATCAGACAAAGAATAGAAAAAGAAACTAGAACAAAAATAGGTGAATACCAACATGGATTCAGAGAAGGTAAGTCAACAATAGATGCAATACACATTGTAACGCAAATAGTCGAAAAAAGTTACAAGCACGGAATAGATCTAAATATACTGTTTATTGAATACAAGCAAGCTTTTGACAGTGTAATAAGGGAGGAGCTAATTAAGGATATGAATCAATTAGGCATCCAAGAAAAATTAATAAGTCTCACGAAAATGACGATGAAGGAATCCAAGGCACGAATCTTAACAAAGGAAGGCCCGTCAGATGAAGTACAAATGGAGGTAGGTGTCAGATAGGGAGACTCCCTGTCAACAACATTATTTAACATTGCCATAGAGGGCGCAGTAAGAGCGGCCAAAATTATGGGAACGATTATCGAATCTTCAGCCCAACTGATTGCGTATGCAGACGATATTGCACTGGTTACTAGAGATTTAAAAACCATGCAGAACATAATATTAATACTAGATAAAGAAGCAAAGAAGAGAGGGCTAGTAATAAACCAAAGCAAAACGAAATACCTCAAGTGTTCAAGAGAGAATACGAACATAGAGAAAGAAATTAAGCTTGGTGCATATACATTTGAAAGAGTACACCGTTTCAAATACCTGGGAGTGATGGTAAATGACAGAAATGATAGAACAGATGAAATAAATGAACGCATCCTACTGGGTAATAAAACCTACTGGAACTACCAAAAATTCTTGAAAGAAAAACACATTAGTAAGAAAACCAAATTAAAAATTTACAAGACTGCAATCAGGCCAGTGATCACCTATGGTGCAGAGACGATGTGCCTAACACAAAAAGATGAAATGAGGTTAGAAATCTTAGAGAGAAAAATAATTCGACGAATAATGGGGCCGGTGAGGATAAGTGTAGGCGAATTTAGAAGATTAACCGATGAAGAAATTAAAGAAGTCATCGAGGGTGAAGACATAATCAAGTTCGTTAAGACGCAAAGGCTCAGGTGGCTGGGGCACACAGAAAGAGCTAACCCAGACTCTACGCTAAAGCGAATAACTGGATGGAGACCAACAACAAAGAGACCAAAGGGGAGACCCAAACAAGATGGAGAGATCAAGTCTTAGGAGACATAAAGAAGCTGAGAATCTACAATTGGAAGGAGCGCTGTAAGGATCGGAAAGAATGGAGGAAAATTGTAGACAGGGCCAAGTCACACACGCTGCTATAATAATAAAAAAAACAACAGCGGACTGATTCTCCGCAATAAATGAATCAGAGAGCCCAAAAGGGCGGCAAACACTCCGCCAGGAGTGAATAAGCCATGATGATGATGATACATAGCAGTGGACATCCCCGGCTCTTTATATGTATTCGTATGTAGCATAATAAACGCCACTTAATTGGGTAACATGGAAGTAGTTACCACGGTCGGACTGGGGAGAAGTGTGCCTAATGGAAGATGGAAAATGCTCTAATCATTGGCAACATGGCTACACAAATAAGAATACTACGGTTCGGGCTTCAGTCTGGTACAGGTGTCTTGGTCGGAGTTCGATATACAAGAGATTTGCGAGTAAGGGAACACATAAGAGAAAAAAATTTTGGGCACCCAGAAGTTTGACAGGGACTCTCTTAACATGAAGCTTGCGGGGGGCCCAATATATCAGGGGCCCCATTTTGTCGTCTAATATATCATCGGTTAAGAGTGTAAATCTGCTAAGTCCATTATAACAGATTTTACAGGAGAGCATAAAAACTGTAGCAGCAATGAAAAATCATTGTTCTATTAATTAGCAATAATTATAACATCAAATATAATTCCAAGTAATATATGTATACATCCATAAACCGATTTTCTCACCGCAATTAATTTTTATTTACACTTTTTGGGAGTTTTTGGGAATTTTCTTATATGTAATATTAAATCTTCTGGACTTTGACAAAAAAAATTATAAGCAAGTATACAAAGTGCTATATTAAAAATCATATTAATTATGAATAGAATAGAATATAGAATATTCTTTATTAATCCCATCAGATCACATTGTGATATAGGGGAAGTCATATAGTACATAAAGCATGATCAACAAGTTATATAGGACAATTATATAAAACACAATCAATAAAATATAGATTAATATAAAAATAAAAAACAAAGATATGCAATATAGAGCGTCTCTGAACCCGTCGGTCGTTATTCTCTGCAGTCTTTCATTAAGTCAAAATATTCATTTAGGTTGTAAACGCATAATTGGATCAAGCATGCTTTTAATTTATTTTTGAATTTTTGAATATTGTTTTCATTTCTTATATTAAGTGGCAAACAATTATAAAATTTAGATCTTGCAAAATCAGGACTAGTTTCAAAGAGAGTTGTGGAGTGTTTACATACACTTATCAACCGCCCGTGTCTTATCGGGTAATTATAAAAGTCAGAGTTGAGGGTAAAATTTTGAAATTTAGTTTTGACGTGAATTATTATTAATATTATATGTCTATTATTAATATTGAATATCAATCTAAGAATTCTCTTTTGAGTTATAAAAACTCTAGAAGGGTTTCTAGAGTTTCCCCACAAGATAACATTATAGGCCATATATGAATAAACCAATGCATAATACACACTTATCAATTGATTGGTGTTAAATAGAGTTTTCAACTGAAGGATCGCATAGTAACCCTTATTCATTGTCTTGCAGACTTTAGTGACATTTTCATCCCATGTTATATTACTTTCTAGAATTCTACCAAGAAATAATGTTGTATCACTAAAAGGTATTTCCTCAGAACTAACTGTGATTTTATAACAATGGGATGGCTTAAAGCGCGAGTAGAACTGCATACAAATAGTTTTCTTTGCATTTACCATTAAAGAGTTCCTTTTACACCAGGTTGTAAATTCATGTGCTACTAAGTTCATTTTTGATATGAGTTCGACTTCATTTGACTCGTCAACTACAATTGTTGAATCATCTGCATAAAGAACTATATTGTCTGCAGTAAAAAAATGTGTCAAATCATTGACATATAAAAGAAATATTAGGGGTCCCAATACGGAGCCTTGCGGTACACCTCGATCAAGATTAAAAACAGATGACTTCTTATTATCGACTTTTACTAGGAATTTACGATGTTGTAAGTATGACCTTAACCAGTTCAAGAAATAACCCCGAAAACCAAGGGCTTCTAATTTATGCAGTATAATTTCAATGTCAATAGAGTCAAAAGCCTTAGTTAAGTCAAAAAAGAGTGCACCCACATACCTTTTTCGATCCAAAGCAGCCTGGATATAATTAAATAATGAAATAGAAGCACTCTCTGTAGATTTATTAGGAAGAAACCCATGCTGGCATTTATTTAAGATATCATATTTATTCAGAAAATTTAACATTTTGCTATAAACACACTTTTCGATAATCTTAGAGAGTACACTTGTTACGGTGATTGGCCTGTAATTATCAACCAAACATGGATCTCCCTTTTTGAAAATTGGACTGACTACTCCCGTTTTAAGATCACTTGGAAACTTGCCATCCTTGACAGATAGGTTGATGATGTGAGACAAAACAGGAGATATACATATATGAAGAAATGTATTTAATTATTTTAGTGGGGATTTGATCAATACCTACTGAGCTGGTATAGTTTAAGGAAGATATAGCATTCTCAATATCAAATGGTGAGACTTCAGAAAAAAAGAATGTGTTAATTGTCATAGTTGTGAAATCGTTAAAGGAATAGTTATTGAAATGTTTTAATAATGTGTGTTTGACTGATGTACAAACTTGTTTGTACTTGTGCTTGTTTGCTATGTGTTATGGATGTATCAATAATTTATTATTATCAGTAATGCTCCACTTAAAATTGTTTTTATTTTACCAGTTTGACGATTCACAGTTTTCCATATCTCCTTCCTTCTTTTATTATTATTTTGATTATGTAAATAATTTTGATATGATGCTTTTTTTTATATCCTTTACCTTAAGAATAAAGTTGGCCTTTTGTATTTTATAGGTATACATTAAATCTGAATTACCACTAACATTTTCTAGCCAAAATGAATCTTTCAGCTTTTTACTAATCTGTTATTATATATTATATGATATGTTGTTATTGTTTTACATCCTGTATGTCATTATACTTCCTACTTGAAATCTTCAGTCTTTCAGAATAAAGTTGGTCTATTTGAAGTAATGAACAAGGTACAATTCCGGAGCTAAGCCTCTGAGGTAACAATTTCCAATCATCGCCAAACCGTAATTTATAATCAATTTAACCGTTGAATTATATCTTAACGCAGGCACATCTACAATGTAAAATAATTGCATAGAATAAGAATTTACATAAAATAAATACTTGTAATGACTTACTTTTGGGTCACCTTTTTTCTTACCGGGACGGATGCTTTTCAGGAACTCAAGTTTTTTCATTGACTTAAAGAATGCATTATTTAAATAAGTTACATTATATTTTTGGAGATCTTTCGGGCAGATAGACATATTCCCACGAAATCTGCTGGAACCTTGATTGTTTTGCTCTTTAAACACCTTTCAATTGTGGAATGCATGGAGTCTGCCTCCATTTGGGTGTGCCCAATTTCTAAGTACTTTTACTTAATAGTAATGTTTTCCTTCACAGCTGTATTTAGTAAGGCGTTTGAAACAGTTACGTTTCTATTTTGGTAGTTACAGCCATCGCTATACAAAATTATTTTTGTGTCTCCGTAATCAGTAGTTCGATCAAGTGTAGGCAAAATTTTGCAGAAACTCTTCTGCAGAAACATTACCTTTCATCTCATTCTAAATGTAACAAAATCCATCTTTATTCCTTAAGTTATAGAAACAAAGATTGTGTAATTTTGTTTTATAGTAAAGGCTCGAAACTTTTGATTTAGGAGCCATCTCTACAGCTTGTAAGTCAACAGTGAAAACAAGAGTTATTAGCTTTATCACGATCCTTTTCTGTGCCTCATTCTTTTTAATATGATGTAAATTGTATTCATCCTCCGATATATGCCCTACATTGAATGCGGCGCATTTTTCGCACGTCTTTTTTTGGTCGGAATAAAGAAATCTTTTCGGAATCTAATGCTTCATTGAAAGTTGCAATAGAAAGTGGTTTGCTAGATTTTATTTTACACCAGCCATCAACATAAAATTTGTATAATTTTTTTTAGATTGCTACTCTGGTAAAAGGTACTGTTTAGTGCTAGTTGATCTAGGGTTCCATGAGACTCCATTTTAGGAATTAAATCTATAAAACTTTTTAGCGCTGACCGTTCCTGTTCAAATAGCTTACTTTTCTCGTTTCTTTCTGTTTTTCCTCTGTTTTCTTTAGCTTCTTTTAATTTCTTTTTTCATTCTAATATGGTCATTCTACCAATTGAGAGAGTGTTAAGGAACATGGTCCTGCATACTCTTAGGTTATTATTGTCGTCGATTCTTAAATGATATTGAATTGATTGAGATCTTATGAAAGTGTCACGATTTTTTCTATTTCTTCGTCTGTTGATTGGTAAAAATGACACAACACTATCAATTAGTATTTTTTTGGCTCCCCATAAGATCAAAAATACTTCTTAGAGCTGTTTCTGAAATTAATGTGCACTTCATTTGGTCAGTACTTTTTTTACAGGAGCACCTCTGTTTCATGGTACGTTGTTTTCTTTTTATATTATACGCCCATTTACCGTTTTTAAGACATCGATCTAGGTAGGGAGATCCATGTTCCCTAAGTTTAAGATTTTGTTGCTAAACCCAATTTTCTTTATCTACTTGCAACCTTTTTCTTCCCTTTTGGCTTTTTATTGGATATCCTTCAAATACGCAATCACTATCAGAACTATCTGAATATGGAACCAGTTTTAATGGACTTTCATCTTCACTGTCACTGATTAGAATCAGCTACTAATGTATTTTCTTCTATTATTGAGGTCTCGTCCATTTTTTCCACCAGACATCTATAATCAAAAGGAAACTCTGTTCTAAAACGTAAAATACGTGACACTTTATTCGTCAAACAAGTAATGCGAATGAATATGTTAGGCCTGTCAAGCCCACAGCGCCCCCTATTCGAATTCGTAAGTAACTAATAATTTTAACTGATACAGAAATCTATAGGTACTGCTTACATAGTTAGAAAGGTACAATGAACATAAAAATTGTAGATATAAACTGGTGCATTTGATCACAAAAAATAAAACGTCATAGGCCTGATAGGCACAACGTATAGGGCCGCATAGGAAATACAAGAACGGTCTTTAACAAAATGAGCACCATCTTCAAAAGTCACAACATATCCCTAGATACAAAAATGAGACATTTGAGTTGCTATGTTTTCTCTGTGTTGTTGTACGGGGCGGAGGCATGGACGCTTACAGACACCACTAGTAAAAAACTTGAAGCATTTGAGATGTGGCTTTATAGAAGAATGCTGAGAATATCATGGACAGCAAGGATCACAAACAAGGAAGTTCTAGGAAAAATGAAGAAGGAACCAGATATTGTGTTTACGATCAAACGCATAAAATTGCAATATCTGGGATACGTTATGAGAAATCAGAACCGTTACTCCTTGCCGCAGTCTATATTGCAAGGTAAAGTCAAAGGTAAGCGAGAACCCGGTAGAAGGAGAATATCATGGCTTCGGAATTTAAGAACATGGTTTAAGAAAACCTCAACAGAGCTGTTTCGAACCGCAGCGAGCAAGGTTATGATTGCCAAATATGATTTCCAACATCCGAAACGGATAGGAACCAGAGGAAGAAGATACTCTGAAGGATTAATCGATTGTTAATATTCTATTTCAACTTATTATGTTAGTTTAAATAAATTAACATTTTGAATAAATTGTTATTTATCCGAACAGTCAATTTTTAGAACTGGTATTTTTAATAAATTTATCTTTTAGATGCGGTTTTACCGATGTGGAGATAGAAATGTTTTTTGTGAGATATAACATAGATCCTTGGACAAATATGGACTTAAATGATTCTGAACAGTTTTGCCAAGAATTAAATGTAGTTTTAAGTAAGTAGAAGTATTTTAAGTAAGTGCCTTTTCTATTATACAAAAATCTTCTAATAACTGTTTTGCTTGACAATGCTGTAATTGCAATAAAATGTATAACTGTAATTTTTCTCTCTTTCTCTTCCTGTCGGTTTGTAAAACTATACAAATTAATGATTTTTCTCTTTGATACATTCAACATGTTTATTAAGAAATTTTGTTTTCAAATATCACCAGGAAAGTTCTTGACAGCTCAAGTTATATTGGGTAAGTAGAAAATTACAGTAACAAAAAGTGCAAGCATAATATGCACAGTTGTATTTTCTGTAGCATTTGCTAGTATACACAGTTGAATAGCATATTTTGGTTCATTATTTCCCGCCATGTTAAATATTCTATTCCTATTTATAGAAATATGTCTACTCAAGGTATTTACAATTGTTTTGCTCGAACTTTCTTTTCATCTATAAATTATTTCAATAATTGTCAAACCTCATGTGAAGTTTGGTGTTTTCCCGGAAAAACATTAATTTTTGGCGGATTTCTAAAGATATTGTAATTGTGCTAACTAATTATTAATCTTCTCGAGAATCTTCTCAGTCCCCTATAGTGCAGGTTCTAACTGTAATGCAGATTGAGCCTACAAACCTAATTCATCCGTACCAATTAAGTCAAATAAATACTCAAGCTCCACCATTGTGCTCAAATCAACCAACAGTAAACCAAATGATACCTTCTGTTAATTATCAAAAATATCAGGTACAGCCAATAGTTGCCAGCAAACCAACTTTTCCCATTCTACATCAAACTGTCAATTTAACTTAAACTTAGAAAATAATCCAGAAACACAAAATAAATATGATTCGATGTCAGATGAAGAACATGAAGACTCTCAAAATAATAATGGCAAATAATCTACCATGGCAAACAATAAGATCAAAAAGAAAAAGGCTTAAACATTAAGATTCAAAAGAAGAAGCTCCAATTATAATACTCTCAAATAGTTTTCAGCCACTTCCACAGTAAAACTCTGTAAATAATACGAATAAAAATCCACCAATCTCAAAACCTCCTCCAATTTTTATATGGCGTGAATGACTATAGCAAAATGATAGATAATTTAGCTCAAGCAGTAGAAGCAAAAACTTACTTTAATAAATCCTTATCAAACAACACAATAAAAATTTTACCAAAGACACCTTAATCCTACAGAACACTAATAAATCATGTACGAGAGGAAAAAATCGTCCACCATCCATACCAACCTAAGGAAGAGAGCATACAGAGCAGTTATTCGAGATCTACATCACTCAAGCGAAAATCCATAAAAAGGGTCATAGAGTGAGGAACGCTACAAATATCAGACACAGATTGAGCCGTGAACCATTACCATTATTTTTTGTGGACTTCGAGCTTTAAACGAACAACAAAGAAATATTTAAACTTAAGTATATAAAACATATAAAACATTGTAAAGTAAGTGTAGAACCACCACACTACAATCTACTGTGCAAAACCATATAATTGCGTAAAAAGTGCTGGATTACACAACAAAAAAGACTGCAAGAAGCCAAAAACACGCCAGCAACTTGCACAAACTGCAACGGAGACCATCTTTCTAATTACAGAGGATGTTCTGTTTATCGTGATCTACTAAATATCAGATACAATGACAAATCAAAACAAATCACCACTCAAAATTCTGTCAACAATCCCAATGTAAATATACCTACCCAACATCATGCTTATAATTTCAACAGAATCAGTTAAAGAGATGCTACCATTGGAAACCTAAATACAGATAACAAAAATAACAACAATGAAGTAGCAGATAAACTATCCCCTAAACGACTTCAAAAATAATATGTTCTCTCAACTCTTAAACCACAATAGCATGATTTTAATCATGTTAACTATAGTCATTAACAAAATAGATTTCAAATCACTACGAATGTCGTCCTGGAATGCTAATGGGATTTCAAACCATATACTAGAGATATCTTCTTCTTCTTCTTCAGCCTTCATTTATCCATTGTTGGACATAGGCCTCCTCCAATTGCTTCAACGCTTCCCTATCTTTTGCAATTCTCATCCACTGTTTTCCAGCTACAGCTGTTATGTCGTCTATTCATCTCTTTTTGGGTCTTCCTACGCTTCTTTTTGTTTCTCGACGTCTCCAGAATGTCACATTATGAGACCATCTGTTGGTGTCTTATCTTGCTACATGTGCTACCCATTGCCATCTCAATGTCGCTATTTTTCCCATGATGTAGGTTACTTTAGTTCTTCGACATATTTCGGTGTTAGGAATTTTGTCTCTGAGGCTTATATTTAATATGACCCTCTCCATGGCCCGTTGAGTTACTCTTAATTGTTCTGCCATTTTTCTTGTTATTGCCATAGTTTCCAACCCATAAGTTGCAACTGGTAGTATACAAGTGTCATAGATTTTTCGTTTTAAGTGAATTGGGATTTTTTTGTCTATTAAAATGAAGCTCAACTTACCAAAAGCAGCCCATGACAATTGTATCCTTCTTTTAATTTGTAGGGTTTGGTTTTCCTTTTCGTTTCACTACGCCCTCTTTGCACTAAATGTATTACTGCAGAAATGTCGAGATCAAAGGAAAGACGTCTTTGCTGTATTTATTGACTATGAAAAGGCCTTTGATCGAGTACAGCATCACAAATTAATTACAATATTAAAAGATAAAGGAGTTAATAGTCAAGACATACGATTCATAGAAAAGTTATACTGGCGTCAAACAGCGACAGCTTGCATAAACGGAAAATCAACAGAAATATGTCAAATACAAAGAGGTGTCAGACAGGGTTGCATACTATCCCCACTGTTATTTAATTTATATTCAGATAGAATATTTAAAGAAGCGCTGCATAATTTGGAATGGGACGTGAAAGTTAATGGAATTCTGATAAATACAATCAGATATGCAGACGATACAGTTATTTTAAGTGATGACATGAATGGACTACAATGCCTTCCAAATGCTATTGATACAGTGGGAAGAGAGTTTGGCCTAAACATAAACTGTTCAAAAACAAAACACATGGTGTTTAGCCGTTTAGCACATCAAGATGCACGATTATATGTTGATGGTCATATAATTCAAAGAGTGTCCAGTTTTAATTATCTTTGTTGCCATATTACTAAACAACTAGATCCAGATCAAGACATAAAATGTAGAATCGAGATAGCCCGCACGATATTTTTAAAAATGAGGTCATTCTTCTGTAATGATAACTTGCAACTTCCAACTTCGAAAGCGCATGGTTAAATGCTACATTTGGTCAGTCCTCTTATACGGTGTCGAAGCATGGACATTAAAAATATCCACCATTAATCGTCTGGAGGCCGTTGAAATGTGGTTGCACAGACGTATACTAAAAATTCCATGGACGGCTATGCTGACAAATGTGGCAGTCCTTGAGAGAGCAAATGCTGCTCGCGAGTTGCTTGATAACATCAAATGTAGAAAGATGGCCTATTTTGGACACGTAGTAAGAGGATACCGATATAATATTCTTCAACTTAATATGATGGGTAAAATCGAAGGACGCAGAGGAATTGGTAGAAAGCAGGCCTCTTGGTTGAAGAATATCAGGGAGTGGACAGGAATAAGGAAAGCTGAGCAACTCTTTAGAATAGCTCGAGACAGAGACAGTTTAGCCATGTTCATCGCCAACGTCAAGGGCACTTGATAGGACACGTTAAGAAGAAGATACAACAGCATACTACGTCTTCGATACTTTCCAATGTAATGGAAATTTGCTCCAGTTGCTATGATTCGGAAACCTGGTACGCCCGCAACGCAAGAATATTCATATTGCCCTATAAGCCTACTCCAAATAATGTCAAAACTATTAGAAAGGCTACTATTACATAAAATCAAGTAAGTTGTTCCCATAAACGAAATTATACCACAACACCAATTCGGATTAAGACGTGAACACTAAACCATCCAATAATGCCATAGAATGGTAAATATAATTAAAACAACTCTCGAAGAGAAAAAGTTTTGATGTCTTCGTGTTGCTCTTGGTTTTCTTTTGTTTATTTTGTTTATTGTCAATTACCAGATAGTTACATTTTTTCTTCGACATTTTTCTTCAACAAATAAAGATGTTTGTTCGATTTTTCTTTATAAATAAAAACTCTATAAATTAATATTTTTTTTATTATTTCGACTTTAACGTGCTCCTCTACTATTACTTATAATTAATGTTTAAAAAACGTTCTCTTAGAAAAAGTCATCAAAACAGATTACAGATTAATTGTTTACATCCATGAAAAAAGACTTAAATAAAAATATTTTTAGGTGCTGAAAGTAATAATGGTGTACGTTTGGAGGACTTTATAAGGTAATAGAATAAAAAAAAAAAAAAAAATTTTTGTTAAAATCCTTTATAAAAGGTATATAAAATTGCCTCAAACGGGCTATCACAAACACATTGCAAAACGTTTTCGGATTTAAACAATCCATCATCAGTGCAAACCTGAAAGTATATAACCACTTTAATTAAAAAGAACGTTAAATGAAAATGTTGACAAAGGTTAGAGCAAAATGTGGTTAATACTTACGGTTGTACATGCTAGTAGCCACCAAAATATATGGGTAAAAACCCCTTAAAAGTTATAAATTTAACATTATTTTACATTATTAGTTTTTATAGTTTGTGATGGTTAAGTTACCGTTGGGTAGGTAACATGGCGGCGTATGACTCTACATGAGTAAAATGGTCCTGAGACGAAGTGCCTACGAGGACCTGTTGATAACAACTGATTATAATGACATTGATGACAAGTTAGGACGGATGTTGTGTCAGAGCAGTTAGTGTAACTTATGGTAGTTGTCTAAAATTGACAGATGTCAGCCTTATTTAAAATTGAAAAAATTTAAAATTATAATAATGTAACAGTATCTACCATCAATATTGTAATCTGTATTGTAAATTAATCAGATAGGTATATTTGTAACATTGAAAATTGGTTTTTTTAAAAATTAATGTAGGTCAACTAGAATTTATGAAATTTTGTGGGATTGATAGGCAACCAACTATACATGTGTAAGGATATATTTATTTTAAGCTAGAGATTTTGTCAAAAGGCCCTGTATGTTGTGAGACATTTGGTACCTAGAAAATGGTAAAAAGACACATGTGGGAAGATGGGTCCTAAAAGATATATTATTGAGTATTGATGTAATAGGTGGAAGTGTGTTTAGATCTATTATTGAGCTGAAATGTAAATGTGACAAGAATGTGATCATAATATGGTGTTCATGTAGTACTCAACTTAAAACTTAAGTATAGAAGGCCCTTTATGTCAAAAAACTACATTTGGTACCTAGTAAAGATAAATAAAATAGATTTTTAAGTTATAAGTAAGTAAACATGAATTACTGATTATGTGTGTAAAGTAAAGATGGTAGGTTGTTTGTGTATGTGGGCAAGTATGCCAGACTGAAAGAAATATGATGGCTGAAGGATGGTTAGGTGTGATATTGTTCCTACATTGCTCGAGTTATAACTCAAGAAAACAAAAGGCCCTATATGTTAAAAGAAACATTTGGTACCTAAGAAATATAAAAGTAAAAAGGATGAGTTATAAGTTAGAGTGTAGGTAGGTGAAAAGTTTACAGGCTTATGGAGTGTATTGTGACAATATGTGGAAATGTAAGAGTAATTGTGTTTAAGGTGGATCTGTCAAGTTTACTAAAGATGTGTGATGTTTAAATGTTATTATGAAGATGAATGGGAAAACTACAAAAGACTGAGGACCACAGAGACCCGAAAACCAAACCCTGAGGGAAATTGGATGAGTGAAAGGAATTGTAAATGATAATGAAAAACGCAGTATGAAAAGGTGAAGATGTGTGATTGAGTGGGTGATGGTGTATATTAATGAAAATTGTTTTTGGAAAGAATGAGGCATGAAGTGCTCTGAAATTATTTTTGTTGGGAAGGAGCATGGAGAATATTGGTTATTAGGTCAGATTTGAAGTTTGAATGCCTAGACAGAAGTGAGGAAAAAAGAGAAAGAAGTGAGGAGTTGGATATATTGAACAAAGTTTGAGGGGGCTAAGGATGATTAGTAGGTGATAAGAGAAGGATGAGAATTTAAATAATAAAGAAGAAGTAAGTTTGATAATAAGTTATGAGAATAATTGACGGTGGAGCAGAAGAAAGTCTCGATTAAATGAAACATGGCGATTGACACAATTTGGACTTCTCTGTTTTTCTTTAATGATTTCTAGGTCTTCATATAGGTCTAATTTGAGGAGGTTTTTTTGTGGGAGATTGTGAATAAGTGAGACGTCTTCTGGGATATTGAGAGTGTGGTTGTGTTCTTTAAGGTGTTGAGAGAAAGTGGAAGTATTTTCTCTTTTTGTGTGCTCTAAAGAGCGTGAAAACAATGATCTACATGTTCTTCCTATGTAGGTAGCATCACAATCAGAACATTTTAATCTATACACACCACTACGGTTCATATAGTTGATGGGGTCTTTGGAATTGGATATGTACTGACCCAAGTTATTAGGTACTTTAAATGAAACATGAATGTTTTCAACCGAACGTTTAATTAGATTTCTAATATCTCCAGAAAGACTCTCATGGTGATAAGGAAGTGAAACATAATTGGGTTTGGTGGTAGGATCTCTGGGGAACGCAGTCTCCTGCAAGTTCCTACGACGTTTTCTATAAATGAGTTTATTGATGATGTTATGATCATAACCGTTGTTGACTGCTTTTTGTCTGATAATGTTTAGTTCTTTTGTGTAGTTTGAATGAGAAAGTGGAATGGTTTCCAGGCGATGGATGTAACTGTGAAAAGCAGCATATTTGTGAGACATGGGGTGATTGGATGAGAAGGGTATTACATGGTCAGTCTGTGTAGGTTTCCTAAAGATACTGAAGTCGAAGTGGTCATTTAATCTGGTAATGGTAAGATCAAGAAAATTAATTGACTTGGAAGATTCTAGTTCCATGGTGAACTTGATATTGGGGTGAATTTGATTAATTTTAGAAAGTAATAGTTCAGCTGAATTGGAGTTACCTGAAATGAAGACTAAACAGTCATCAACATAACGAAACCAATGGAGTATTTCAGGATTTGTCATAATCTGTGTGGATTCTAAATGATCCATAAATACATCAGCTAATAGGGGGGAAAGACAGCTGCCCATGGCTAAGCCATCAGGTTGTCTATAATATTTGTTGTTAAAAACAAAAAAGTCTTGGTCTAAACAAAGTTGTAATAATTGGATAATGGAGTTCGTAGTAGACTGGGTGATGGAATTGTTTCTTAGAAGAGAGTGAACCAGATTAATTGTTTCTTGTTTGGGGACAGAGGTAAATAAGTTGCTGACATCAAATGATAGCATAGTAATGTTGGGGTGAAGATTGATATGTTTGTAAGTTGTTGACTAGATGACTGGTATTTTTGACTGAGAATTGAGGGGTAAAGTTTGTCAAGTTGCTGATAAGATTCAATATGAATTTAGATAGGATGGAAACTGGAGTGTTTATGAAACTAACAACTGGACGAATAGGAATGCCCTCCTTGTGTATCTTAGGTAAACCATACAGTCTGGGTGTTAAAGGGTTACTTGGAAGTTTGTAATATGGTGCGAAATGTTCAGAGAAGAAATCTGTGAAATGTTTGATGTTATCTTTTAATTTAATTATAAACTTTTTTGAAGGATCTGTTGTGAGTAGAGTGAAGTTATTATTATTAAGGAAAGTAGAAACTTTATCATTGTATGAAGATTGATCTAAGATCACTAGACAGTTACCTTTGTCAGCTTTGCTGATGATTAGGTTGTTTGATTTGATTTTTGTTATGATTGATCTGAGGGTTTTTAAATGTTCATTGCGTTTATTGTGAGAAAATTTGGGAAAGTTAGATGTTAAATGGCTATTATCATGGGTGGAAGGAAAGTTGATAGATGAGTAAGTGTTGGGATTAGAGACTGTTGAAGAGTTAGATGAAGAATTTTTATTTTTAAATTTGTTAATAGTATTAAAACAGGAGTTTCTAATTGAAGTTTTCTGATTTAAAGGAATAGAGAGGTTTTGAATGATGATGTCTAGCTCAATGGAGAGACTCTGAAGGTCCTTTTCCGAAACCTTACTAGGAATGGAGTATTTGAGGCCTAGATTAAGTAGGTAGAGTTCATTGTTGTCAAAGGTAACTGAAGAGAGATTTTTTAATCTTGGGTGAAAAGAAAAATTAGAAAATTTGGTGTTGTTACTGTTATGATTTGATGAACTATGTTTATTTTTAATGAGATTGTTTAATTTTGATTTTAGTTTATTAAATTTGGTAGAAGTTACATTGTCCAATCTGTCCTGAACATCATTCAAATAATTATTTAAGTTATCAAATCCAATAGAATCAAGTAGAGAGTCATACGTTACCTTAAGTTTACAATCTGTGTAATTAAGCTTACTATAATGTTTACAGATCTCCTTTTTTAATATTTTAAGTTGAAACGTGTTCTTTAAGTTTAATGGAACATTTCCTGGAGTTTTGATTCTACAAAATGTAGGGAAGATCTGGTTGTTAATGCACTGGGATATGAACCAAATATCCAGCTTCAACGTACACCTTCGTAATAGAATAGTTTTTAACGATGTTTCTTCCTTCTGAAAGTTTTTATATCCATTTTCTATACAAATCTACCATGACAAAATTAATAGATTTAAATACAGATTCGTCATGAAATTGCTTGTTTTGAATCGTTTATCGTCAACCGTCATTAAGTCTGATTATGAACGAAAAGAGTGTGATCATTTACTTTCGATGTCTATAATTTAAAAATGGTTAGTAATTCGATGGATAGTAACGGTGATTGTAAACAAACCAAGATGAAATTATATTAATAAAAATTTTATAAAAATACAGCCGATATTCTAGTCGATTCAAAATCAATTTACCTACACCTGAATCAGAACTATTCTTGGGAGTCCAAAGCATATTTTTTTATTTAACTACTTGTTAAGATAAAACAATTAATGGAGAAAGTAGAGAGAAAAGGTATACTCTTTTACTACGGCATTGTGTCATAAGACTCATGAAAATTATTTATAAACGAAGTTTTAAAAAAATTCGAAGATATGCACATAGAACAATTTGATTTCAGAAATTTATGGAAACTCGATTCCTCTGTTAAGTTTGATTATATTTCTAAAAAAGTGGGTCACAAATTGGTCGCATTGCACCATAGTGATCCTTTCTGAAGTGCTCCTTTTCTAACTTGGCTGCACCGTACTGACGATGACCAATAGTCAGAAATACGTATATATGGTTGCCTTGCATCAATATACCTATTTTGTTTTTTTTTGTTTTCCCGTTTTTGCGAGACACGCCATTACATTTTACTTTTATTATTCATTCGAATTAACCTTTTCTATATTATATAACCTTTATTTTTGAAGGTATATATATACTTTGTTTGTCGATCTTTTGAAGGTAATTATTTTTTTTTTAATGTGTTATTGCTATTATTGCTACTTTGGACTTTGATCAAAATGTCTTCTTTTTTTACTAAACAACTGTATCCACATTTCAGACAACAAGAAAGACTACAACAAATCGAAAATGCAGTCGGTCGATTGGTTGATCAAGTAAAAACATTATTAGAAAGACTAGAAGTGATGGAAAACGTAATTAAAGAGAGGAGACGTTAACAAAGAAAGTTCATAAAATGTAACATTGTATTTATTTATAATAAGTGATTTTTTTATAATATATAATACAAACAGAAAATATGTACAAATATTTTTCTAATTCAACAGATTTATAAAACGTTTTCAGTCAAGAAATTCTTAAAAATAATAACAAATTAGGTATTAGTTTTATAAATCTGTCTTACTCATACAGAGTGGTCCATAAATAATTAAATAGTAAAGAAAGTGTGACACTTTATTTAATGTTTCCTTGAAACACAATTGTTGATTGCTTTTCTCCTAGAGGGCGGTTCTCTAACTTGTTTTTAAGTATCTTGTGTTAAATAAAAAATCGTAAATCTAACATTCCAGTAAAACGTGATATGAAACACAATAGCATAAGGAAATTGTATAATCTGGTGGCAGATATGAGATGATGAGACGGTGCCACTTATTCCAGGTGCCAGTCACTATAGATGACTTTTAGATGTGATTTACATACAAAGTGTTGATCATTTCTATTTTTGTGATATTGGGATACTTGTAAGAGGGTTGCTGCTCAAAATTCGAAAGAAAAAAATGAATAATTGCTACTTTCTCCTTTATTGAAGACGTTTCGTATATGAATCCATGGAAGTCAAGCAAAAAAAGCTCGGAAACCATGAAAATTAAACGTTTTGTTTTTTTTATACGAACAAACAGGACTAAGTCAGTTTTATATAAAATATACCAAGAACAGAAGTTATAAAAAGTTTTGTAAAAAAACAATCTTTCTAACGTGAAGGTCAAACAGAATTTCAAAACCATTAATATTCATTATGTTGAATCGTTAATAAGCTTTACATTTCAGTATAGGTAGCATTATTTGGTCACGTAGTTTCAAATTAAATAAAGGAGAATCTTTTTTACTAACGAAATCACTAATTTAACACTTGAAAGGTCTACCAACCTCTTTCGTTGATAGAAATTTAAATTCACAAGATTCCTAAGGATGTTAATACCAACAGAAAATAATTCAAGGCAAGGGTGGGTTAAATGTATTACTGAGGTACTTAATATAGAGGAGGAGCAAGAAAACCTTGAAGACGAAAGAGATGAGGTAAGCGAAACATACGAAACAGATTAGAGGCAAAAGAAACTACCAAAAGCTTTTGAAATTAAAGAAGCCATTAAGCTATACAGCTAATTCTCACCGATAAAAATGATGGAAGAAAATGGATAGGGCGGAAGAAACTCTCCTGGTTAAGAAATTTACGACAGTAGATAAGTTTAACAACACACGTAGATCAATATAAGAATATTATAACCATAGTAGTCGCCAACGTTCCCTAGGAACATGGAACGCTAAGAAAAGAACATCATGTAAAAGCAAAATACGCAACATTTTGAACTCAAACGATTTATTATAATGCAAGGTATCCGTTCTTGCCTGTCCAATCAATTATAAAACACTCTGTATAAATGGTAAATTCCTATATTGTTGCCTAATAATTACATAGTGAAAAAAGTTCATAATTTATAGTTGATATATTCAAGTTCACGAAAATCTCAATTGAATTAAAAGAGAATATACATGTGATGAGCATTTCAATACATATCACAAAGTTTGTGGCAATTGGTGGACAAAAGTAAAAATGGGTGCATTTTCGTAAAAGAAATTATTAAAATTCAACAAATATACGATTTGAAAAAATTTAATATCCATTCTTGGTTTAAAACTAAGCAAAAAATCAAAATATTAAAATTAAATTTGTCTAAAAAGTAAAATCTAAAATGTATACACTAGGGACCGAATATCTTTACCTGCGTGTCATAATACCATCGAGCAAAAAGACAATAGAGGGAATGTAAAGGTAGTGGGGGCAAACATATTGTTAGACAGGAAGTGCGATCTTTAGAGGCCACTTTAAACAAGGAAAGAGAGTCTCTCTCCTTGTTTGACATCAAATTTAGTTGGGTTATGTTATTGTTTATCCCAAATGTCACATGAAATCTTATTTATATTGAAGTTTTTTAACAATTGTGTCGCATTTTAGACTCTTATCATTAATAATTAATTAAAACTTTCTCGTCTAAGACACATTTTAAAAAATATTATATAGCTACTGTTGATAAGTGTCGGAAAATTTAAATTTCGCGCATTCGCATTTCCGGATATGTCCGCCATCAGAGGCCACTTTTTTGGTCTCCTTTTCATAAGGATTAGATTCCCTCTTTTGTCTTATTGCTCGATGCATAATACACAGCGAGATACAATACATACTGATAATATAACATCACTGTCCCTCATAAATAAAAAGTAAGACAATACACTATAAAGAAAACAATTTTTTTTATTAACATTTGCGACTTATGACATCGAAAAATTATATATAACAGACACTCATTTACGAAAACATTTTATTTCAACATTAAAACACATAAAACAATTTTAAACTCGACGAAAAAGCTTAAGAACAGATTTGTGAAATATTAAATAATAGTTATATTAAATAAACTTTAAGTTGTATAAATATTATGTTTATACAATTTTGGTCAGAACTATTTAAAGACATTCTTAATCCAAGTATGTTTTTAATAAAGAAACCCAGGAATAAATTTTTTTGTATTTTAGACTACGAAAAAGTACCGTAGTAGGCCTTGAAATTTGTAATTAATCTTTTAACGGTTGTCCATAAGTTTGTTTTTTACTTAATATTAATTATATCTTAATCTGCTAATAATTTTACAGGGACATTCTAATCTAAATAGATCACATTGTACTTTATAAATTTGATAAAACTGATAAAAATTGACACAATATAAAACGAGATTAAAAGAAACCATTACAAAAAACTTACAATAATAAAAAGAAATAATTTGAATTCAAATATTCAAAGCATAATTTCTTTAAGAAAATGCACCAAAAATTGTTGACAGATATGCAAATGTTAAAATTAATGGAGAAAAAATATAGGCTCACACCTTTTCTACAACTGTTTTATACATTTAGTAAATACTTGATGTGTGAGAATTTAGGAATAGCTTGGATCCATAGACAGAATAAGAATACACTAGGAAAGGTATGGGTCGTCGCTATGTGAATAAAGGTAAAATGCCAATAATCACTTTTAGTGGTCTAGGAATCTTTATCTGTCATACGCGCCTGTTCTACCAAATTCATAATATCATAGACATAATAAGATATAAGACAGAACCTAAAATCGTGAAGTTCAATTCAGAGGATACACTAAAGATCCGAGTTTTGTGACCAACTAGGGCAATGTTTGTGGCAGGTTTAGTACTGATTTACTTTTTATGTTGAAGATTAAAGTTTACCTGCAGTTTTATTGCTAAATGCCATTTATCGCCAAGTTTGTATATACAACATGAAATAAAATAAATTTTTTACAAGATAGGTAAGTTTCAAAATTCAAATCTTGCAAATAGAGTGGGCTTTTAAAAAAATTATGATTATATTATTATAAATATAATTCAAATTATACCTAATAATATTATTGAAATTTGTTTTTGTATACAATTATGTATTTTATAACCTAACCTATTCTTTTTAAGGCGAAATATTTACATTTACAATTTTTTACAAAAATACCAATTATTAAAAAAATTGATTACGTGCCACTTTGGCAAAAACCCTCCTAAAAACTATGTTAAAATATTTCCTTGTATTTATATTTATCTATTTTTAAGTACCACTCAGAGCAGATTTTTTTTGGAAAAGGTAGTACATTATTGGCAATTTTTTTGTACGGTCATACCTTGTTTTGCGTAGTAGTTAGGGCTTTAGAAATGCCTATCTATATCGTCCATACATTTTGATAGAGGCATCAGAAATGGATATTCTAAAGTAAATTTGCAAAGCTCTCCTTTGCAAAAAAAAAACGAATGGTCACAAAAATCGCGAATTGATTTTCCTGTCTAGTGCGCCACCTTGTGGACAAAAAAATCAGCTCTGGGTGGTTATTTAAACTAGATAAACTAATATAAAAAAGTTCCTATTTATTGTCAAAGTTAAAGGTAATATATTTTTTTAAATAAGTAACCTTTTTTGCAAAAAGCTGTGCGAAAAAAGAGAATCAGGTTAGATCATAAACAAAGATATTTCTGTACAGTTACAAATCTCAATATTAATATTGGGATAAATATAAACAACTCGCTTTTTGTAAAATCTTTTCGTTGCGCGCTACTTTATTTGAACCAGGAGCAACATTTGGATTTTACAACACACCACTCTTAAAGAAAATTTTTATTTCATATTTTAAAAATACCATTTTTCCCTAAAATCAATATTTTTAGGGATAAATGACACAATGATAATAGTGTTAAGAAAAATATTGATGAGTAAAATAAGTGTAGATAGATTGTAACATAGTACGTTAAACATAATTTTACAGTTTTATATAAATATGACACATACAGTGACCACACGCCCTAGACAGCCAATTCTCAAAAACTGATGCAGCGGTCCCTTAGATACATTCAAAATGCGGAAGGATAAGAAAATCGCCTCGCACTACTTTGGTAGGTTTGAATAATTACAGTGAGTATAACAGATGCCGTATTCGCGATGACATAAATGATAATGCATATATACAAAAAGATCCGTAGAGAAAAAAAAATCGTTTCCTATATAAAAATTGAAATGATAAATCGGTAAGGTGGCGTTACAGCGTATTATTGGTTGCATAATCATTATAAGAAAAAATTTACAATTGATATGAAAAATTTTAATTTTTAAAGAAATATATATTTCGAAATTGTATTTAATATCTGATATGATTTTTAACACCTAATATACAGGGTTAAAACGTTTTTTAACCGAAGAAATATTTAAAAACATTGAGGATATGATGCTCGACGCTACACAGTTTGTTGACAAGAGAAGTGAATTAATTTGCTTTAAATAAATGCTGTCGTTTATCGTAATTCATAAAATTATCTTATAATTTATTTTACAACTTCTGAATCTTGGCCTCATAACCAGCGCGTAAGAACTGTAAATGTCTATTGCCAGTTTGATTATATACATTGTGTATATTATTGTACCTTGTATATAATATACACATAACCAAAGAACGTAATGTTAAACAGTTGTAGAAAGGATTAATACTGCTATTATAATCTAATTGAATAAAGCTTGCCACTCGAAGACATCCACATCTGCATATTACTTATCACAGTTCTACACAGCAAACAAAACAAAATTGATTTTTTATATTTTCAATGGACACATAAACATATTGAATAGCTAAGTAAATACTGATAGAGTAAGTAGTGAAATATAAATCCATATAAAAAGTAAAATCCAAATCTAAGTAAAATATAAATAATCAATGTGATTTTTAAAATTCAATACGTCATTTTTAAAAGTGCTGAAAATAAAATAAATGGTGAGAATGAGAAATATATCAATTCGCACTAGACTTTTTAGACCATAAATTAAATTATAGATAGAAAAAATAAATAAGAAACAATAAGATACATAATTATTTTCATACTTATCAAAAAGTAGACATTTTTTGCCATACAAAGTTTACAACTTGGTCTACTTCTTGCCAAATGTGTTTAAAATTACCGACTACCTACATAATATCTTACAAAAAGTTATATACTTTTAAATGGTATTAGTGACATATTACATGCTATAATACAAGTCAAAATATCAGTTCAGTGATATATACAAGCACCAAATCTATAAATTCATTCTTGAAATCGCCATATTATTGTTGACGTCACACTCTCATGTTATTTTGAGGTTAAATACAATTGTTTTTCATTACGTTAAATTGCCGAGGTTATAACCTTAGCTGATTATTTTAAACCAATTTTGTAAATTTATTTGAAATATTTTAATAAGACAAAAAAGCTGTAGAATTGAAACTAAATAATTTCTTAATAAAAGTTCTTTGTAAATAATTGCAAGCTATATAACAGCTCTCAGATTATTTATACCTCACAGTAAACTACTATCTAGATAAAACGTGAATGAATAGTTTAAAATAAATACAAATGGAACTAATCTCTCAAAAACTGATGTGCCACGTCATCTTAAGGTAGCGTATATTTTCAATTCACCGTATTAAAATACAACAAGTGGAATGTTTGTTGCCGCGTAATCGTACACAAATTTGTATGCTATTTAAGTAAAAAATGGATTTTTTTTATATACTTGTCTACGGAACAACCTCCTGCATAAAATTTCATCTACAAATACGTTAAAGGATGTAATTGTTATCAAATTTGAATTAGCTCGCACAAAAGTATATAACTCTTTAAATTCCATACCATTACTCAATGATATGGTATCTTTATACTGTTTTTACTGTTAGGTGATATATTCCTTTAACTGTTAATTAACATTAGCCTATTAACAACTACTGGCCCATCGACACAAATCGAATTAAGATGTTTCGTGCAACTTAAAATTGATTTTAATAGAACACCAGTCCCCGATGGCAAAATTAACTAAATTAGTCTACGAGTTTATGCAATGGGTTGTACTTGTTGGGCGTATTTCAGTCAACGTTTTGAGTTCGCTAAAGTTACTACATAAGTTATTTTACCTTGTTATAAAATATCAAATTCATAGTCCATACATGTTTTAATTAAATGTACTGATCAAAAATTTAACTAGTTGTACATTTACTACGTAATAATTAAAACTTTTCTGTATCGAATTACATTATGGATATTAAAAAAATCGGCTTGGTTATTGAACGAAGTAACTACTTATTTATAATTAACAAAAAGTAAAAAGATATAAAACCAAATTTTTATGTAAAAAATACAGTGAGCTTATGAGAAAATTTCTTGGGAAACAAGAGGAATACGTGCTCTGAGGGGATATCGCAACAGAGAGGAAAATGTGACATAAAGTGACATAAAGAGGAGGAGATAATGGAATGACACACAAAAGGCATCACTAAATACAAATCTATATTATTTAAAAACTACCTCATTCAAACATAACCTGTCAAAATTTGAAATAAATCGGGCTATTAATTTACTATTTGAGAAAAAATATGAATTTTTTAACATGTTTAAAAGAATTGGAGAATTAACAGGAATGAGAAAAACAGTTTAAACTAGGCAACTAAGAGATGAAAGGGGTGCACTTATAACAGATATAAACCAAAAAATGCAGAGATGGACACAATATACAGCACAACTTTTTGAAGAAAAAGAGAGAACAGAAGCACCAAAAGAATTTAAGGATGATACTGGGCCAGACATTATACGAGAAGAAATTTAATATGCAATGAAACAAGCTAAAGGTGGTAAATATCCCGGGCTTGATGAAGTTCGTATCGAATTACTTAAAATTGTGAATACTGAATCTATTGATGTTCTTCTGGATTTATTCAATACCATATATAGAACAGGTATAATACCCAAAGAATGGCTCCAATCAACATTGATACTGCTTCCCAAAAAAGCCAATGCAAAGGAGTGCAATGAACATCGCACCATAGCTTTAATGAGTCATGTCTTGAAATTGTTTTTAAAAGTAATTCACAATAGAATACATAAGAAATTAGATGAAGGCATAAGTAATACACAAATGGGATTTAGGAAAGGACTGGGAACACGAGATGCACTGTTTGCAGTAAGTGTTCTTTCGCAGAGACGCTTAGATATTAATCAGGAAGTATATGCCTGTTTAATTTATTTTGAGAAGGCATTTGACAGAGTGCAGCATAATCGGCTTAAAGAAATTTTATTGAATAAAAACATGGACAGTAGAGACATTAGAATCATCTGTAACCTCTATTGGAACCAAACAGCAAAAGTAAAAGTCGAAAACGAACTGACCGAGGATATCCAGATTCGCCGTGGGGTCCGCCAAGGGTGTATTTTATCGCCCTTGTTATTCAATTTATACAGTGAAGCCATCTCAGAATTAGCGCTTGCTGAGATCAGTGAGGGCCTTATAATAAACGGTGAGCCACTTAATGAGATATGCTGACGACATTGTCCTTCTGGCAGGAACACTAGAAGAACTGCAACACCTTGCTGAACAACTAAATATATATTGCAACGATTATGGAATAAAAATAAATTTGAAGAAAACCAAGTTCGTGGTATTTACAAAAGCCCAAAACATCAAAGTTCATGGTATTTACAAAAGCCCAAAACATCAAAGTTAAGCTAGTACTAGATAATACAGAAATTGAACAAATATCTTCGTACAAATACCTTGGAGCATGGATCACAGAAGATACTGATCAAACAAAAGAAATAAGATGACGCATTGAAATTGCACGGTCAACTTTTAATAGAATGACAAAACTTTTTTGTAATCGCGATATCAATATATCGCTCCCAATAAGAATGCTTCGATGATATATTTTCTTTACCCTTTTGCATGGAGTTGAAGCTTGGACACTTACAAAATATGGATGGATCGCAAAACAAACGATCAAGTTCTCGAACAACTAGGAAAACAATGCAAAGTTTTAAATTCCATAAAAATCAGGAAATTGGAATACTTGGGGCACATCATGAGAGGTGAAAAGTACGAACTATTAAGGAATATAATGCAGGGTAAAATCAAAGGTAGAAGAAGCGTAGGAAGACGTAAAATCTCGTGGCTACGCAACCTCCATGAATGGTTTGGATGTAGTTCAATTGAACTATTCAGGCGCGTAACCAACAAAATTATAATTGCCAGAATGATTTCAATGAATTCAAAATCCGATACTTCTAAAATTTGCAAAACAAGGAAACAATTTCAATGGAAGGAAACACTGTTTAAGCAAAGTGATGGCTTCGTAAGTGTTCGCAAGTCGATTCTACTGTAGGAAACAATGGTTAAGAGTAGTATGCTGACTTTGAAGTTGGCGCGTTATACTACTGCGGAGTTATTGATTGACACTACTCTAGGACAGTTTGGGACTACTGTAGAACTGAGAATAAAAATCGATAGAGCAGATCGAATTACTCAGTGTTACCAAGAAGTAGACACTGCGATAATGAACACCTTTATCTAGTTGCCTCAGGAAAGAATTTTTATCTGGCCATTGTACTGCCCCAAAAAGTTATCACAAACCAAACTGAAGGGTCTAAAAAGGCCAACGTCCAGAAGTTTAGTCTAGAGTCTAAAATTCCGTAATATCTACGACATACCACGAAGCGAATGTTGCTTTAGAAGATAATTTTTTGAGAACGGTTTAAGCTGCATATGAAAAAGTCTGCAAACAAAAGGACGAACAACAACCGGATATCCAAAGATCAAAAAATAAGATGTAAATTTAGTAACAGACAGTACACTAGAAACAGGAAAAAATGTACAAAACCAAAAACCGTGAAATACACAAGAAATATTGCAAGATCGAAGAAAATAAAAAAACAAAAATGAAGGAACACAATAGTGTTGAAGCTGATTAACTAATATATAGAAATAAAATATGTAGCACAGTAAGAAAAAGACTTCTTGAAAAGTGTAGGAAACACATGGAAGAATTATTTGCAGAAGAACAGACAGAAACCTACGTTCTTGGATTTTCAGAACCAGAAATAACTTTCAGCGAGGTATAAACATCCAATAAAACGACTACAGAATAATAAGGCGCCTGGACCAATAACCCAAGCTCTTAACAACTCCACTTAATAAAATTTGTGAAATAGTTGAGTTGCCTAAGTACTGAAAATGATGAAACATACCTAGTCGATATTCACAAAGCTTTAAGGATCGATGTTATTCATTACCATAACTGATTGGCTTATGATTCGTTACCATCGGTGCAAATAAAATCGGTGTTGAGGCTGAACCATGGCTTTCTGTTTGTAGTATTTTTAAAAGTTCTAAAATAGTTTTAGAATATTTCAAATTTGTTATCACTAATCAAATATAGACTGTCCGAAGTTGATGCCTCGATAGCTAATGTTTACATTTGATGCTAGTTCTACAATTACAATAAACTTTAATATTTTGTAAGTTCTATACTGGACTAATTCATTGATAAAATACTTAGTCTTTTCTCATGAATCATGGAACTGGTTTAAGAGGAACATCAATTTAATCTTAAAGTTAAATTGCCTAAAACCAACTAAATATTTGGCATATTCCACATTGGTGGACAGAATTCTACTTAATAGTTTTAGATAAACCATTACCATTTTGTCCATTCTTGTAGCGACAAAAAGCAAATAAAAAAAATCCATAAATAAATTAGTTTTTTCCTAAAAAATCCGAGAGCTGCCTTTCAAGTGAGTCACATTGGGCCATATCTTCTCCGTTGTGGAACATGCTGGAAGCCATGTTGGTGTCTATGCTATCGTAGAATTCGTCGTCGCCCCGGGCACGGCCGGTATTCCACATAAAGGTATTGGCGGTGTGGAAGCGGAAGCTCGTGGAACTATCGGTGACGGACTGTTGAACGTAATTGTTCTTGTCCAATGAGTCCGGGAACGCTATTTCGAGATCTGGATCTAGGCCCGGGTCGCTACTATATGAAGAGAGAATCCATTGAGACGGAGATTTTTCTTTTGCTAGGTTTGAGTCTGGAATCTGCAAAAATACAATTTCGAGTTATACTTTAATATTTATTCTAATTATTGGAAACGACAGACTATAAGAAATCTAATTTTCGATAAATTTTAATTAAATCGCTTAGCTGAAGAGTGACCCAACCGCTGAAGAGTGACCCAACATCTAAAAATGTAAGAATGCACAAAAATCTAAATTTTTATTATTTGAATGATATAAATATCTTTAAATGTTTAATTAATATCATTTATTACACTCATATTATTGACGTTGGCTAAAAATTAGCCAACGACTCTCTAGTAAAGTCCATCTCCAACAATTAAAATATTTTGGGCATGTTATGAGAGCAAACACAGAAAACATGGAAAGACTCATAATACAAGGAAAGGTAGAAGGCCGAAGATCACGAGGAAGATCCCCAACAAGATGGATAGATCAAATTACAGGAATATGCCAAAGACCTATGCATGAATTAAAAGAAATGACCAGAGACAGAGATCTCTGGAGACGGACAATACACGACATCTCGTCGACCACTACACTCCCCCTGGGGGGTCAGGATTGAAGAGAGAGAGAGATTATTGTAGTGACAAACGAGAACATGTAAAAACACAAATAACCTCAGACTTCAGTTTTAGGACAAAATATTTAAGAAACATGAATTATTGCTACCACTCTGGTTCTTACAGTCAATAACACTGATTTTGTATTTATTCGTTTCTAAATATTGCTTGACATAGTGCGTTAATATCATAATTAGGAAGTAGCCATTGAAATAGAGACGTTGTTTGACTCGTGCCACCAATATGATTATATGCTTATAATATAATTACTATTAAGATGGACGTGCATATGAATATTCAGATCAATTATATGTGCAAAATTGCTATCACTTCGTCACTCTCGTTAGTGTTTTCGAATTTACCATTTACATACAAAGTCCTGTGCCTATTTAAAAAATGAACGACATATATATTGTACAGAAGATAAAACTTTATAAAATTTCCTATACTAGATGTTGGTCTATAACGATTAAAAAGTTTTAATTCACGTATTTGAAAACAGAAAGCAGTAAATTTTATGCTATCCTGTATAAGGTTATATTATGCGTTTTAAAAAATCTTCAAAGAAAAACATTTTTGTCTCTTGAAATGGAATAAACATTCAATGTTTGTTTTACTCAGCCCAAATTGTGTATATTGTAATTGCCCACTAAGGCCTAAGAATCGAAGAAATAAAGCGCTGATCAAGGATTCAGTGTAGAGTTTCAGCGCGGAAGAATTTCTGCGACTGAAATTGCGATGATTTGTAAATATTGATCATTCCCGGATTAGACCTAAAGCAGAGAACTGTTCGTAGTTCTCTGCCTAAAGCGGATTGGATATAGCGGTCCGCTAGAAGCGGTACCGCCCTTTAAGCCAGTATGAGCTACTGTTTATTGTTTAAGTGTTTGAAAATTTCCTTGGAGATCACGTAATCTTTGGCAGTATTGTTGTTTGGTCATAGTAAGCAGTAAATAAAATAGTATGAGGCAGTTGAGTATTTGCCGAAAAGTTATTTTTCAGACATCTTAGTTACACTAATTCTCTTAAACTGTAAGTTATATATTTTTGTTCCGTTTTTGTTTTTGACTAAACAAAAGCCTGAAAGGGATATTAAATTATATACCTTTTATAAAGAATTTTAAATAAACTTTTGTGATTGTTTTCTGTTATTTGTTTAGATAAGTATTTTGGTGTCAAGTTTTCTTTGTGACAGACTTATTTTGGCCCCATTTTGTCACAGACAAAGTGGCACCCTTTTTGGCAAATTAATTCTGATGTTTCTTTGTATTGTTTATTCCATATTTATGGTTGCTCTAGTAGCTATTATCTAATTTTTATTCTTGTCAATTTTTCTTTTGATTATGTGCTAGAAGAATGATCCAAAGAACAACGGACAAATCTCTCCGCTTCTAACAAATGCAGCCCCGTTCGTTTTGTGTGCTTCAAAAACTCTCAATCGTTTGTTGTGTTGCAGGACTTACATAAAATCTATTCTGTTGTTATTTACGTTTCTATATGTTTGTCAATTCCAATTTATAAACGTTTTTTGTACAAAAAATTTGGAATATTTACGTTAGCAGGGTCCTGATTTGTTCATTTGATTTATATATTTTTTTATTCAGTTAAAAAAAAAACATATGATAATTATATCCATTTTCTTACTAATATTTTATACATACAAACAAGTTTCTTAGTGTTAACATTCAAATTAATGTAGATATATCAATAGGTGTAGAATATTATGGAGTTACTATCTCCAATATATTGAGATTCCTTGTTCTTTCTTTCGCAAACGTTGAAGGCTTTCTTCCGTCAATCAGTAAAACACTTTGTAATGAATAATTTAATGTCATTTAATATTCCTAACGACGCTGCCGATCGATTTATAGAATTGCAAATAAAGCATTTAGTGTCGCTAATAGAATTGGTAAAGTTGATAGAAATTTGTGATCAGAAGTAGAGTAAACTCTGATTTTTCGGACTATGTATTGGAGGAAATCGTCACCTGCATATTCGCTCCGTGCGTGACCATGGTAGGGATACATTGAGCTACTGAGGTAGGGAACCATGGTAGGCGTGCGTAGCGGCGAAATATGACAAAATGGGAATATTGGACAAAATATTTTTACGCATAAATTTTATCAAAAATGCGTGCAAATACACGTTGCGTCTTTAATTGTGCTAATAATAGCAAAAATGGTGATTGTAGTTTTCATAGGTTCCCAAAAATTACATATAAATTAGAAAAAAGAAAAAGATGAATTCGTGCTATTAATATGAAAAAGTAAATATCACATAGTTTCATTTTTATGCAATTGAAATAGAAAAAATTTAAATAATTTACCTTGAATGATATTTCATAAGGCTACAAGCTAACTGCAGATGACTTTAGCTTTTATATCCTAACTTTTACTATTATTGTTTTTAATTATATGCTCTTTTGCGTGAAAAACTTGATTTGCCAGTACTAGATTTTTCCCTTTCTTTTCCGTTTGGAGTTGAAAAGGTATATTATGATGAATTTTGAGAAACCCAGTTTTTAATACTACATTTATTTTGTACATAAACTTTAAAATATAGCTAAAAAACTAATTTATTAATAATTGTCAATTTCGCATGTATTTAACAATGTCAAACATATGTCATAAGTTTAACCTGAAAATTGGGATTCCCAAATTGTCAGATGAAGGCGGTAGGTGTCGCATCAGTCACGCACGGAGCGAATATAACAAACATATGTAACTGATTTTTTAAAACAAGTGAAAATGCCGATTTTTAGTTGTCCCTGTTAAGGTCAATTCAGACACATCAGTCACGTCTCGTCACAGTGAATGCGCCGAATCGGACAATCCGTCATACAAAATATTCTTTAATACAAATATGTTGCCGGCATTCACACTCATCAGTTGACAAACAGTTTCCCAGCTGTCAGATAGTTGATAGTTCTGTGACCAAATAGGACCGGTTCGGTACCGTGACTGTGACGTGACTGATGTGTCTGAATCGACCTTAACCTTGGCGGACTTAAAACCCTTTGATCAAATTAGGAGAGCGTTGAATCCCCAAAAAGTGCTTTAAATTATAAATCAACTCAATAAAGCCATAACTCGCTGACAACCGGGCAAAGGGCATAGTCGGATAAGAATGTCAAAATTGCTGCAGCGGAAACTTGACCCCAAATTTTGAGGTATTGTTCGGCATCACAAAAGACGAATATTTACCCAATTTTAGCACAAAATAACACATAACCTCAAAATTCCATAAAACGTAAAAAACAGTGTTTTGGTCATAACTTTCTTAATTTTTTACCAAAATAGATCTCTTTTTTAATTAAAGATTTTTTTGTATTATACAGAAAAATTTGTACAAAAATAAATATTTGCAGGAAATTCAAATTGATTTCAGCGGTTGAAAGTTTTAAACGTATTTATAAAATTAACAAAAATATGAATAGCTCGAAAAAACATATATATTGTGTGATTTTGAATTTTGAAGGGGTGCGAGGCAGTTTAAAATTGAAAAACCCGGATTTTGTCTTTTATTGAGTTATATTTTCAGTTAGAGATGCGCTACTCTTTTAAAAGTTATTTTAGTAAAAGGCTGACATCAATATATCTTTAATTTGTGACTCCAGATAAACCATTTTGGTCCCTTAGAATCAGAGTTATGTTCATTTAAAAAACAAAACTCTGATTAGAACCATCGCGTCGGTTCTACGGCGTTTTCACTGGTTTTCGCCATTTTTGAGTTGTATCTTGAGTTAAAAAGACACTAATCTTTTAAAAATTATTTCAGCCATCAGAGACATCAATACCTTTAATTACAATTACAAGACTTATGACGATTAAAAATCTGGTTAGAATGTTCAGTTTTCGGGATATTTCGCTAATTAATATGTATTCAACTAACTTTTTTTAAAAAATTAAGACCTTAAGTTGAACCCTAGATTTGGCCCTGTGAACCTCTTATGCTTAGCAAAATATACCAAAAATTGATAATTAAATAAATAAAGAGGTTTCCATAAAAGGTTAAACAATCAATTTGAATTTCCCATCAACTCTCATTTTCATTTAAATAATTTTGCACACAATAAAAAAACCTGTAATAATAAAAAAACAAAATCCATGTTGGTAAAAGTTAAGCGAGTTACGACCAAAAAACGTTTTTTGACGTTTTATGAAATTCTGAGGTTGTGTCAATATTTTGGGCTGAAATTTGGAGAATGCTCATTTTTTGTAATGCCGAATTTTACCTCAAAATTTTGGGTTAAGTATCCGTTGGGGCAATTTTTACATTCTTATCCGACTATGCCTTTTGGTACCAAAATGTCCGTAACAAAAATCTGCAAAACTTTTCTAAATAAATTTTTTGGTTGGAGTCAAGAAAAGTTAAATATTTTAACATCGACCTCATGTCGCTGTAATTTTAATTTTTAAGACATTTAATATTATAAAAATATGTATCCTTTTTTATTTTGGTGTAGATAGAAAGGTTACCCCTTTGATATAATGCCATTAACAGTTATATGGTTGGTGAAGATGGTTGGTTCAACAGAACAAATTACCACAGATGAAAAGAAAAAGATAGAAAAAGGGCGCCACATAACCTTTTGTAAAGTAAAGTGATTCAACAGGTGAAGAAAGATATGATCTTGAATTTGCCAAAGATCCAGCAACTCTCAAGCTTGTCTAGGTAACATAAAGGTGTAATATAACATAACTTACAGTAGTTAATGGTGTGCATCTGTATGTGTGAAAGACTGATGTATTTAAATTTGAGATTGATACTATATTATTACGATCATATATTTTTTAATAGCAATACTTGTACTAAGATTACTGCACTTTGCTCGCAAACGACTCACACAGAAGTACTCTTTTCTCTTCAAAAAGTTACCAGCTCGAACACATGCCAACTTTCTAACCCCATCAATACCCATCAATTTTTAAGAAGACATTAAGATTTATGGGAAAAAGTCGTGTATGTCTAATCGGGAATTAACTCCCGTAGTTTTAAAAGCTGCACTTTTCTGTAGTCCTTAGTGAGAGCGCCCACCAAAGTGGCGTGGAACGTAGCAAGTGGCAAGTAGCACGCGTCTAGCATGATTCTTAAAATGTAACCAATGAAAACGAATGATTCAGCGCACACCAAAATGACAGTGACGTCATTCATTCTAATCATTCGTTTTCATTGGTTACATTTTAAGAAACATGCTAGACGCGTGCTACTTGCCACTTGCCACGTGCCACGCCACTTTGGTGGGCGCTCTCACTTACAATGGACGGCTGCATGTGATGCTCTTAAAAGTCAGCAAACAAGCAGTAAAAAGATCTCAAAGTGCCATGGATACTCAGTAGTATGTCGGAGAATAAAATGAAAAAAT